TTTTAAGGAGCTAGATCGTATCATCGTGGAGGGAAATTATTTGCCTGAGCAAATATTTAATGTGGATGAAACTGGCTTATTCTGGAAGCGCATGCCAGAACGGACATACATCCACAGAGGCGAAAACCATGCCAGGATTCAAGGCATTCAAAGACCAAATCACACTTCTGTTGGAGGGGAATGTAGCTGGTTTCAAGGTAAAACCCTTCATGATATACCATTCAGAGAACCCCAAGGGCTTTTAAAAATGTCAGCAAGCACACACTGCCAGTGTTTTATCACAGTAATAAGAAAGCATGGATGACCCTACCAAATGTTTGAGGATTGATTCCCGAGTTGTTTCATTCCACGAGCCAAAGAGTATTGTCTGCAACAAGGGGTTGATTTCAAGAATTTTTTAATTTTAGATAATGCTCCGGGACACCCACCACACCTGGACGACATGCACCCTGATGTTAAGGTAGTCTACCTTCCACCTAACACTACCTCTATCATCCAACCCATGGATGAAGGTGCTATTGCTGCCTTTAAAGCGTATTATTTACATACGACCTTCACTCAGGGTATTGCTGCTACTGAAGGTGAGAAAACTCTCAAGAGAGTTTTGGAAGAACTCCAACATTTTCCAATGTACATAGCTGCAGCATGGGATGAGGTTACAGGTCAATGCATGAATGGAATATGGAAGAAGGTTCTGAAAAGATATGTGAACAGTTTCAAAGGATTTAATGAAGATAAACAATTTCTGAGATTAGTAACAAGATAGTGCAGATGGGTAAACCTCTGGAGTTAGAAATTGATAATGAAGATGTTGAGCAGTTGGTGGAAAGTGTAGCAGAAGAGCTAAGTAACGAGGATCTTATTGAACTGGAGGCACAGAAATTTGCAGAGGAAGAAGAGAAAATGTAAAAGAAGAACCTGCACCCCCAAGAAGTTATCAGTGAAACATATGGCAGAGGCATTTGCTACTATTAATAAGGGAATGCAAATGTTTGAAGAAATGTATCAAAATGTTAAGCATTTTGCAAAAGTTGACAGACTGATCCAAGATGCACTTGCTTGCTACAGGGAGATTTACAATGAAAAGAAAAGGCAAACTGTGCAGTCTAAATTGGACATATTTTTTAAGAAGTTCCCCACTGCTGTCTCCTCATACCCCACCACTGCTGCCTCTTCACTCCCTAAAGATGATTCAATACCTTCAACAATTAAGTATGTTAGCCTGTTTGAAGAAAGTGAACTTGATGACCTACCCAGCCCTGTCTCCTCTGCTTCATCCAATTAATGTAGTCTCCATGCTTAATTAAAAAATTATTGAGGCTCTGTGTGCATTCAGCTGACTACATTAAAGGTAAGTGCACAGTAACACTTTGTTCATTTTTCATTATTGATTACTTTTACTGTACTGTATTTCATTTTAGAATTTCTATGTATTATTTTCGCCTTTTCGACTTACAACCTGGTTGTCGGGACGGAACCCGGTCTCAAGTCGAGAAGAGACTGTATAGCATATCATAAAATCCAATAGCACATATTTTAAGTACAGGTAAACCTTGATAAATGATCGTATCATTCATTGATATTCTGCTTTAACGATGGTCATGAATTGAAACCATCTCGCTAAATACAGTATGATAAAAAAATTAGCTTTATCCATCAGCAGTCAGTGCTATTTTATCTCTAGTGCAAACTATAGGTTGTATATACTCAAACTAATCGCTGTCTTGCAAGGATCCCAGCAATGCAAATTATATTTTTCTACATCAGGTCAGTGACACTGTATAAGAAAACAATATTTAACCATTTGCATCACGCATCTCACGCTGCACTTGTCAGCTGCGGTAATATCTACCAATGTGCCGCTACACGGCCAACCCATGCATTACATTTCCGTGCTTGGTACTTTGTCCATCGCATCTTCCTGTCATCGTGTAGCTCCATGATTATCGTTCAGCATAGTGAGAGGACAGCACTAACAAAGACTGAACTGTGTTATGGTGTCTGAAGTGATATTTCTGTGTTTTTGTGACCGTAAAGTGCTTTGCCTCTGTTGTTGTAAAAATGATGTGAGCAGTGTCGTCTGCTATCATTGTTTTTGTGACTGTGAAGTGAGCAGTGTAACTTTGAAAACGTCTGGGAAGGTCAAGGTATCCAAGACAACTACGTCTCCGAGGTGAAGCTTGACAATGACGTGGCACAAGACTCCCCAGATGCTGTGTGGGAGTCAGAGTGACGTCTCCACTCCACCTACAAGAGTCCCCTTAGCCTTCAAGGCTTATTCTTCATGATGTGGTGAGTGTTGTTTAATTTAATTGTTTTACATTGACTTTATTAGTGTAGAAATTGTTTTTTCTGTAATATATGTGTTTGGGGACTGGCTGGTAATGTATCCCATTGAACCCCATGTTATAATGTTCCTTATTTATGATATTTCACTTAATGATGGGTTTTCAGGAACCTAACCCTATCTTTTACCAAGGTTTACCTGTACAGTACAAAAAATAGCTCCTTCCAAACTCAAACCATCCTCTGGGTGACCTGACAATTCGGCCACACAATCACCCAGCTGACTCCGTGACGTCCATTTCCACAGTACATAGGGTTATTATTTAAGTCTCTAGTAAAAACTTTAGGTATAAAAATTTAACTTTACACACCAGCATTAGCTGCAGAAATGTTCCTTCTTTTCACAAGTTCCTTATTTGGGGCATCACAATGAGCCTCAAATGGCCGGCTGAATGGCGAGTTCTTTGACGATTCCCACAGCGTGCTGAACATTTTTCCTTCTGGAAGATAATGTAGTAATTAATAATATATTGTACCTCTTAAAAGGAGTCAAGCTGCATACAATTATTACAATACCAAAGGAAACTTAACTAAGAGTTGTAACTTGTAAAGACCCTTACAGTGCACCGTCTATCTACAATCTGTTCAATCAGGGGAGTTGATAATAATGATTCAATTTACAGTGTAACATCTCAATAATTGCTCTGCAAAATTTATAAAACAGCCAATTCCATCAGGTGGATCTTCCCATTCTGTACAGGAAGAATATGTTCCCAGGTAAAATACAGTACAGTACAGTACAGTACAGTAGTCCTTTACTGCAAATATTTTTAAATTTCTTTGTTTTCCTCCGCCCTTTGATAAAACTACCCATAGTAGACAGGGCATGAAAGAGGGAATTTAGAGGTAAACTATTCATATGGCAGTAATGAAACATCTGTACAGGTATGTAGGCCAAAAACTTGATTATTTACCATAAATAGGGCAGCGGCAATTCACCGGTGGCAACCATCGTCCAAATCATCGGAAAAACAGATTGCTCAACTCAAGCCATTTTGGTTGAAAATGCAAATTTACCAAAAAATTAAAAAATATTCAATTACATTTCAGTCACAACTTTATATTACCCAAAAATTACAGTATTGGCTGTTCAAAGTGGGCAGGGCTTTGAAGTAGAGGGAAACTGTGGGGTAAAATAATACAAAGAACACCAAACAAACCTTTGAAAACCTGACTTAACCTAACTTATCAAAATGTTAAAAATCAATATCATGTTTATGGTCTTTCCTCATTTGAAGACAGAAGACCACCACAACATGCCAAACACCAACAACACAGTGAGGTAAAAACTTTCTATGGTTTTAGGATTGTTACAAGTTAGGAAAGGTTAGATAAGCTGCTCAAAGGTTTCTTTACCCCACACGTTTCCTCTACATCAAAGCCCTGTCCAGTTGGGGGGAGTCATATCAGTTAAAATACTTGTAATATGGACTTGTGGTTGGATACACCCCATTTCATCACCACTAACAGTCGCTGGTATTAGTGACAAATTGTAAACTATTATTTTACACGAATACAAATTACACATGTATACAGACGACCCGAGAAGTATTATTATTATACATGAATATTAATTATTTAATAAAGAAAATGATTAAAACGTTGAAAAATAAACAAAATACAGAACAAATGAAGGTGAATTGGCACCAGCGCATAAACCACCGAGCAGCAAAGAACAATCTCGCTCTACCCTCTTCTTCACAGAGAAGCCTCAATGGTTGATTTGCAATTACAACTAAGTAGTTGCTCAGCACAAGCTAAAATTGTGCACAAGAAAAGCAAATCATGCCAAACAAGTCCATCTCTGGAAGCTGTGGGATGAATATGAATTAAAAATATCACCACTTCCAATTTCCCCCCCCCCCCCAAAAAAAAAATTTGACATTGTGTTCTGCCAAGCTTGCATGAGTAAATTTTAGTCTTTCACATATTGTTTAAGTGAGACGATTGCAGGTGTATTAACAATGTTTTTATTTTCATTTCATTTTAGTCTTTAATAAATTGTTTAAGCGAGATGCTTGCAAGATCCAATGTATTGTTATGTCGAAGCATAATTTTGAAATACAATTTTGTAAACTATTGTGGGTGTTTTGATTATATTCTATCCCAAGCAACAGTTATTTTTGTGTATATATTGATGTACACTGTATTAGTTATGTAAGAATTTTCTGGAATATATTGCCCTTGAAATGATGATGGGAATGAACGCGGTGATGAAACGGGTAAAGCAGTGGTAACGAAACGGGTAAAGCAGTGGTGACGAAACGGGTAAAGCAGTGGTGACGAAATGGACAGACCCCTTGTGGCTTACCTCTGTATTGTTCTTATGTACTAATGTATGTCTCAGGGATGTAATGCTTTAGTTTTTCCATAGCTATATGGACAAGGAATTACTGCCTAAATGTCTAATCTATATTTCAGTATTCTATAATCTCATTATGTTATACCCTTTGTTTCAGACACTGTACTACTGAACTGCTGTAGGACAGTTATAAGATGAATAAAGCCTAGTTACAATACTTGAAAAATATAAATGACAATACAGTCCTGCACTGGACCAGATGGCGAACACCAGCCGAAGTTCAATTTCATCAAATTTTTTTTTAGAAGTTATTTGGCTGATAGTAAATAAAAATGATACATTTTTATTTTATTTATACAAGCATTTTGTTTATTTGTTAGTTTTTTCTCTATCTATGAACATAAATCACCTGTAGTGGGCAGGGTGGAGAAATTAAGGGGGTAAAACACGGTGAAAACTGATTATAAGGCACTAAAATTATGTCTACGGGCTTTGTACGTGAAGAAATTAACCATCTACCGTAAATATTTCCCCCAAGCAAACCTGCCATGGCAGCAGTGTTGTCTTCCACTTTCTTTGTTCCGTAATACAACCGAGCCACTTGGTCTGAGCGTACTCTCATATCCAGAAAAAGGTAAAATTACACCACAATGCTTCAACAAAGTTGCTTTTATTGGTACCAGATGTCAGTTTAAGTGCCGGGTACTTTCTGTTTAAAATGGCAGGGGATCCAGGGGAAGGATGTCAGGTTAGGTAGGTGTGTGTATTTGAATAAATAAGGTTCTATGAGGTTCTGTGCATTGTTGTATCATTTTTATTACTATCATCCAAAGAACATTCCAGGACCGGATGAAATTTTCCATCGAGTTTTGAAAGTGTAAGGAACAGATTAGTGGACTCCTCGTAAATATATTTACAATATCATTAGACACGGGAGTTGAGGCAGACTTGTGGACACAGGCAAATGTAGCACCCATATTCAAAAAGGAAGACAGTGCAACAGCATCAAATTACCGGCAGATTAGATTGACAACAGTAGTGGGGAAATTTCTTGAATCAATTATCGCAAATAGCATCTGATTGTATTTAGAGATAAAAATTAATCTACGACTCTCAACATGGGTTTACAAAGGGAAAATCTTGTCTAACAAATCTGCTGAAGTTTGTTTTAGTTAAGTCTATGAGGTAATGGATAATGACGAAAATTACGATGTTATTTACTTAGACTTTAGCAAAGCATTTGACAGTACTGCATCAGAGGCTTCTGAGAAAAGTTAAGGCTCATGGTATCAAGGGGAAAGTTTTAAATTAGATAAAATCATGGCGCACCGATAGAACACAGAGGGTCAGAGTAGATGGTTTTAAATCTGAGTGAGGCTGTGTAACTGGGCCCACTCTTGTTCATAATGTACATAAGCAAGTTTGCGGATGACACCAAAATAGGGCGGCAGATTAATTCAGGGCAGGATGCAAATGCACCACAGGGGGAATTAAATAAACTGCAGCAGTGGTCAGAAAAATGGCAAAAGAAATTCAACACCAGCAAGTGCAGCATTGGAAAAAACAAAATTGATACAATCAATGTATACAGCCTTAACAACATCAACCTAGAGAAGTCGACTTGTGAAAGAGACTTAGGGGTACTTGTAAGCCCGGACCTACGGCCTAGAAAACAATGCATTAATGTTCGAAATAAGGCAAACAGAGTATTAGATTTTATATCTAGAAGTGTAAGTAATAAGAATGCAGAAGTCATCTCGCAACTATATCTTGCGCTAGTCAGACCGCACCTTGATTATGCTGTTCAGTTCTGGTGCCCTTATTATAGAATGGATATCAGTTCACTTGAGTCAGTGCAACGAAGAATGACGAAAATGATTCCGGGACTTAGAAACCTTCTCTATCAAGATAGATTAAAGAAACTAAACTTGCATTCCCTAGAAAGACGAAGAGTGCAGGGAGATATGATAGAAGTATTTAAGTGGGTGAAAGGAATCAATAAAGGAGATATAGATAAAGTTCTTATAATATGCAAGCAGGTTAGGACTTGTAGCAACGGATTTAAGTTGGATAAGTTTAGGTTTAGGAAGGAGATAGGGAGGAACTGGTTCACAAATAGGGTGGTAGACGAGTGGAACAAGCTTAGCAACTTTGTAGTAAGTGCCGAGATGCTGGAAAGTTTTAAAAGAAGACTAGACAGATTCATGGACGATAGAGAGTGGTAGTAACCCCAGACAGGAGCTGCCATGAACAGGTCAACCGGCCTATTGCAGACTCCTTATTTTCTTATGTTCTAACATGTGAAAAATATAAACGTAATCACAACTTCTAGTGATAGCCATCTGGATATTGTTTTACTTTCACACAACCATGGAATCTTAAGAATTTCATCTTTGCACTGGGGGTTCCAAAGAGGTGAGATGAGATAAGGTTAGGTTATTTTTAAGTCATTTGTGAGGGAATCATCATAGAAGAAAAGTGTCTTAGAAATGTCTAAACTATTGAGTGCAAAGATGAAATTCTTATGATTCCATGGTTGTGTGAAAGTAAAATGTTACCTAGAAATGATGATATACAGTACATAGAACTGGCTATTATTGCATTTTCGCACCCCACATTCCTACCCCTAATTTATTACCATATTCGAATAAGACATCTACTTATAAGATAATTTTCTTCTATTACATTACCGTCGCAAATGTATAATAACAGATAGCGTATCCAAAATTTTCTTAATTTTCTTCCATTAATCTTCCACCATTATCGCCTACCTCACCTCCCACACTGCGTGTCTCCTTCACAGATCATCAAGCGCATGTGTTTCCGTACACGTCACGTGGCCAATCAAAAGAGTTTTTTGGGGGGCAACCAATTAAAATGATTTGTGGTTTAATTCGCAGTATTCTTGGCCCAATCAAATTCGATTTTTATTTTGGGTCTCATATTTCAAAATTCGTTTCCGACCATGGAAGTCTGCGATGGGTGTCACTTCAATTATATGGAGCTGATTGAGAGTTTTGGGGAAAAAAAAACGAAGAAACTACAGCATTTTTTCGATATCATGGTGTTCTCCCGACCTCAGTAAAGTGTCCTAAATGCAGGAACGAATGTAAATGTCGTCAAGACCAACATATGTGGCATTGTGGGAACACGTCCCTTATCCCAAAGACAAAGAGACAGCCAATAGGGTAAGAAATAAGTGATTCCATCAAATGGTGAGTCGGTTAGGTTAGGTTTATTTTTTTTCTCTTTTTTTTTTGTATTTTGTATTCGCTTTGCCATAATTTTTTTGGTATTATTGTAGCACCGTTCATTCCTACCACTAATCTATTATCATATTCGAATAAGACGTCTAATTATAATATAATTTTCATCTATTACATTACCGGCGGAAATGTATAACAGCTTTTCCAAAAATTTTTCTATTTTCTTCCATTAACATCCCGCCATTATCGTCTGCCTCTCACCTAACACTGCGTGTGTCTCGCGTCTCCTTCATAAATCATGACGCGCATGCGTACCCGTACACGTCACGCGGCCAATCAAAAGCGTTTTTGCTAATTCAGAGTATATTTGGCCCAATCAAAATCAAGTTTCATTTTGGGTCTCATTTTGAAATTCAAGTTCAGTTCCGACCATGGAAGTCTGCGATGGGTGTCACAAAGTATATGGAGCTGATTGCGAGTTTTTGGAAAAAAAATTAACGTAGAAACTATAGCATTTTTTCGATCGCATGGTGTTCTTCCAACCTCAGTAAAGTGTACTAAGAGCAAGACAATGTAAATATCGCAAAGACCAACATATGTGGCGTTGGGTAAGTATCCCAGAATGTAACGACAAACAAGAACCAGGCCAATAAGGTAAGAAATAGGTGATTCCATCATATGGTGAGAGTCAGTTAAGTTAAGTCAGGTTAGGTTAGGTTTGGTTATTGTTTTTCTAGTGTTTTATTGTGTATTTGTTAGTCGCTTAGGCACTTTTTTCTTGGAAAGCGTCAAATGAAAAAAAAATCGCTAAAAAAAAAAAAGGCTAATTTCCGCCAAAAAGGAATGTCATAATCGGTCTCAGGACACACAAATACACTAGAGAAATATATTTTTGACTTTCTAACAGAGTTGGGTGCGCTTATACAAATTTAACTAGAACTAAACCCAAAAATATTGTGGGCCATTATGGGCATCTTTTAAAACAATACCCAAGGTTTAATAACCCGGGACTGTCCTTGTCTGTGTATCACCAAAACAATACACTATTTCCAAGCAAGAATATCTTATGTTGGCCCCTAACTTAAGCATGATGTTACCCACTTTAGAGTAAACGACTACCAACCAAACTACACCCGAGATCATTACATAACGTCTATTACCCTGTATGAGCAAACTTGTAAAATTATAAGACATCTATCTGACCCCGGGTGATAGTACCGGTCACCACTATCACCACTAAACATTACTTTGGTTTTCCTTCAAATAACACAATAGTAGAGTCAATTGTTTGTTATAGCATCCTCCTTTACTTTTCGATTTACGTGTTGGATAAAAACCGTAGATAAATTCTCTTAAACCTCCTTACTGACGGTTCACCGGCTTCATTATGGAACACTATTAAATACATAATCCTCACAGCACCAAAACCTTATTATCAGTCTTATATTTTCTTTACGTTACTAAAATATTAACTTAGATGTGTAAATAGTATTAACAAAAGCCATTAACCTTAGAAAGACACCACAGTACTCCACCTTACCCTTAAGATGGCGCAGCCGGAGGTGAAGAGGAAGTGACCAGCAGACTACGGCACACACCTCGGGGTCACATGACTACCTGTAACTAAACCCAAAGAAAATATAAATGTAGTTATAATAGATAAAAATAGATCTAAATACTTTTATTATAAATTATAAAATTATCTATTAAATTTGATGAGTTAAGTGTACAATAAAAATAGTCTTCCTTTGACTACTAGACTCTTGTGATCAGCTGATAGAACTTTGATTCTTTTTATTGGAAATTCATTTTATGTACAACAAATACAATATGGATATTTATTTTAATTTATTATGTGACAGGTATATATATATATACACACAGTATGTATGTTGTGTTGTGTTGTAAGAGAAACAATTGAAGCCCTGCAATTGTGTATAAATGAGACAGAATGTCAGGTCAACAAAAGATATATAACAGCATAAGCAGAAACAAAATTTATTGGGCAAAGTTTCTACCAATATACCTAAAACATAAAAATAAATACATAAGTAACAAAACAATTAATTTTTCACTAACTTTTATCCTCTTCACCACTGATCTGCTCGCTAGCCGCCCGGGTGGTCAGTCACGTCTCTGTTGTGCA